AGGCCAGAGATGCGAAGGGTGAGAGGACTCACCAGAGACAGAGCAGGAACAGAACAGGCAGATCTACTAAGTACACTGCTGAGGGGAGCAGCGGGTGTGTGAGGAGAGATCTGCCACACCATGTGGTCGCCTCCGGGGCAGGCGGGAATCGAACTCATGGGGAAATGGCTTTAGCTTCTTAGTACAGTGCTTTAACCCACTGCGCCACCAGGGAGGGCCGAAACTTCCCACTTTTAAAATAGTAATTCTCTCTGATGATTTAATAGCATAGCTCAGTGTCCTCAATAAGAAAGAGATTTTTCTCTTTTGATGATTTAAAAGTATATCTCAGTTTTCCCAATAAGAGAGAAATATTTTTTCTCTGGTGCCTTGAGCTCAAATTCTGAGTAAAAACTGACTTTATACTTTATATAGCTGTGGGGTGTGTGTAATTTTGAGGTGTTACTACTTGGAGAAGTATTTTTGTAAGTAGTAGAAAGTATGCATAAATGTAGAGTGAAGTTTGAGTTAGATTGTTTACAGCAGGACTCCACAGCTTAGTATCTTTCTGACCTTTAGCAAGTTACCTAACCTTGCTGGGATTCAGTTTACTCATCTAGAGAATAGGTGTAACATATTGTGATAATTAAATAAGAAAAGGTGGTTCATGCTTAGAGCTTAGAGTAGCTCTTGTCACCTGGAAAACACTGAAAAAATGTTGGATTTGATTTGGAATTTTGACTCTAGAACAAACTGTTCTCCAAATTCTGTACTACTATGATAAGAAAGCCCCCCCCCCATTGGGAATTCACCCCCCCCCATCCTTTCATGAAACTTTAAAAAATGCAGGGAACTAATTAACTGTGCTTTTTAAATTAAATATTCTTTACTGTTACTACTTTCCACAAAATTCATTGTTACGTGTCTTTTTCATTTGTTACAAAAATAGTTTAAGAGCAGCTATATATATATATATTTTGTTTATATACTTTGCACTTAACAATTTTTAACAATTTTTAACTGGCTCATAGCACCCCGTAGTTTTCAAGGTATACAGCATTACAGGCCAACATCAGTGAAAGCTGTATTATTATAATTGACAACTAATAATCTGTTCTAAGGCTTCATTGGTGTCCCAGTTAAAACATTTTTAAGAATTAACTCAGATACAGTAAAAGTTACTTTTTTACTATACAGTTCTGCAGGTTCTGGACACATGCACAGTCATTTAATCTACCACCACAGTTGCTACATAGAATAGTTGCAACACACCAAAAATGTCCCCCATAACTATCTAGTCAACTCTTCCTAGCCCAGCTTCTAACAACCAGTTGATCTGATTTGTCTCTATACTGTCCCCAAAATGTCATACAGATGAAAATAATCAGGTACTCTGGCTTTTTTCACCTGGCATATTAAAGTTGAGAGTCATTTACAGTGTTTGTCAGTAATTCCTCCATTTTTATTGCTTAGTAATTTTTGCTCCATTGTGTTAGTGTGCCGTTGTTTATCCAACCCCAGTTGAGGCATTCTCATAGGCAAAATAACCACCCTCCAAAGATAAATCCAATCATCAGTACATGAGGATGTCTTAACTTTCTATGACAGATGACTTGACAGATGTGATTAAGTCTAAGGTCCTTAAACTGAAGAGATTTTTCTGAATTATTTAAGTTGCTTCTGTCTAGTAAGTTCTTGAATGTCAAAGAGTTTAGAGTAGGTTAGAGATAGATGAGAGAAGGCCTGATCTAGAAATTAGTAGTGAGGACTCTTGGTGGTATGGGGTTTAAGTGTCAGCACCATCACACTATCACTATTGCAGCCTGAGTTCAATCCCCAGCCAGGGAGCTGACCCCCATGGCACAGCAGACCTTTCCTGTCTCTCCCGCTGCTCCCCTCACAGTGTATTTCAGTAGATCTGCCTGTTCTGCTCCCTGCTATGCTTCTGATGAATCCTCTCACTGCCCCTGCCCCGTCCCTCTGGCCTGAGCAGGAGTTCTTCTGCACATAAATCAATCTTTAACAAAAAATTAGAAATTATGAATCATCATCAACTGACAGCCAGCAAGTAAAGGGACTTTGGTACTGAACCTCAAGGAATCGAATTCTGTCAATAACCCAAATGACCAGGAGATTACTTCTCTGGAATCTCCAGAAAGAAAGGTAGCCTGTAAACACTTGATTTTAGTCTAGTGAGACCCATGTCAGACTTCTGGCCTACACATTTATGCTTTTGTTTTAAGTTTTGTAGTGTTTGTTATGGCAACAGTAGAAACTAGTAAAAGAACATTTGAAATATTTCTAGTTCTTGGTGGTTTCAGATAAAGTCTCTAGGCATTAGCATACAAGTTCATGAACAACCAGTTTCAACCAGTTTATTTTTGTTTCTTATCCTTTTGTTGAGATGTCCTTCCAGTTTTTACTTGTACAAAAAAAAAGACTTTTTCCTGTTTTTAACCATTAGTAATGTTGTTTTTAACCATTAGTAATGTTTTTCATTAAATTCCACAGTTCTCTCCAGAGTGGAACTGTATTCAGGGTAAAAAAATAAATAAATAAAAGTTGAGCTGATGTTGGTTGGAAAACCTAAATCCCAGGAATAGAGGCTTCTTGTAATAATCCAGGGCCATGATTGTACAGCTGCCTGAAAAAGCATTGCAGGTGGGGGAGGGAAGTAGGAAAATAAAAATAAGTACAAAAATCAAGGAGTAAGTATGTGTTTCCTCCCCTGCCACCAACTTCTTTTCCCCTTCTCTCCCTCTCATTGAGAATTAATGTAGGAGATTCTTCATAGTTTTAAAGTGTTGAATAGAAATATTTAAATGTTATTTAAATATAAATTTGAAGTATGTGTGTTGTTTTTTTAAACTTGGATATTTCCTGTTTGTCTGTTTTGCCTTTCATGATCTTCAGTGAAGATCCTTAAGTTGTACTAGATAATTCTAAATGTATATGACCAATTCAGTTGCAAAATATATATCTTGGGAAAATTAGCTGTACTTTAAAGTTTCCAAATTATTTTGTGGCATTTTTTCAACTTCAGATAATGCTGATACAAGCACATCTTGCTTTTCACTTTTTAGCCACAAGGTGGTGTACTACCTCTACTCTCTGAAATTCTGGCCACTTAGTCTTCAACAGTCTGATCAAACCCCAGTCTGATCAAACCCAGCATAAGATAAAATAGAATGTTTTGAAAGTTCACTTTGGACACAAAAGAAATTGTTTATGACAGTTGGTACTCTTTGTAGAAGGACCTACATTATTTAAAGGGGATTCTAGGGTGTCCTTCACAGAGAAAATAAAGCAATGCATAAAATAAATGCATTTTACTGCATTATTATTATTTTCAGATTTATTAAGATGCTGCAAGAATAAGAATATCACAAGAAACATTCTTATACTCTGTCAATTCATTTGCCTATTATTAGCATTTGTCCCATTTGTATCTTTTACCCTAAATACTAACTTTTCCCAAGGCTGGCCTTTTCCTAAGGCCAGCAATTTTTTATTTATATAACCACAATACAGTGTCAGCTTCAGTAAGTTGATATTGATACAGTACTTTTACCCATTCTACCTTCAGTATTTCAGTTTATCTTTTGACTCAGTAATGTCCTTTGTAACATCCGTTCTCCCCTCCCCACATACAAACACACTAGTTCAGTTTCAAGTAAATTAGCTCTTCAGCCTGGTTTATCTTTGTCTTTTTTAGCAGTGACATTTCACTTACTTCTTTTTTGTTATAGCACATTAATTATTCATTTCCAGTTTGAGTTTATCTGATGATTCTTCATGGTAAAGATAGTATATTCTCAGTTATAATACTGCATATTATACTTGACCTATACCCATGACTTTCAGTAGTGATGTTGCTTTATTTTTAAGTCTTTTTTTTTTTTAAATAAATTTAGATATATCTTTAAAATTTGAAGCACCATTCTGGGATGTTTAAAAATAAATAAACATTTTCCTTAAAGTGAGATACTTAGAGATAAATTAATACTACTAGTATACACAGTCAGATTTGACTGAATAGCTTATAGCATATTTTAACTTTATTCTTGCAGTGTTCTTAATAGTATATTGATATTTAATCCTCCTTGGAATCTGCCAGTGATTCTAGTGAAATAATAAAATCTAAATAGGTCACATTAGACAGACAGAAGTATTAAAAATCAGATATTTCCATAATATATCCCTTTCAGAGGTCATAATACCAATCCAAGTAATTTCATAGGTGTTGTTTGGATTTGTGCTTATATTAGTTTTAATGCAAAACAGTCATATAAGTGCCAGATATGTTGACTAGAAAGAATATCATAAACTTCCCAAAAAATGGTTCACAAGTTTTTAATTTTTTGACTATTTGAGTAATTTGTTGTGGAGTGCATAGAAATTGTTTTGTGAATAAAAAAAATTTCCTAAATATCTAGTGTTATTCTGATGTATATACACATTCTCTGAAGGTCACTGATACCTTTTTTATAGAAAACAGCCATAGTGAGGATTTGCAAATAATTTCTTGATAGTTGAACTGGGAAAACTATTGGATTCTCTGTGTGTTTTGATTTCTCTCATCAACTGTCTACTTGTAAAGGATTGGAAGGGAGAAGAAAATTACTTCCATATTCCTATCAGGTTTATCCCTGAATTTTGCAAAGAAGTGCACAGACTTTCTCTGCTGTCTAACAGTAGCACTTTCCTATTTATTAAGACTTGGGAAGTTACATTTTTTCTTTTGGTCTAGAGATGTTTAAAAATGTTTCCATATAAATTAGTGATTATAGTGTTTCCAGACCCCAACAAAATTACCTGCTAAATAGTACCAAATATGAGCATTTTACTTTCAGATGGTGGGGGAACCATACTGATCAAACCAGTATGTTTAATGTTTAATAGCTGCTGCTTCTGTAGCTTGTTTATATGTGTCTTAATTTCTAAGAGTGCATTAAATGGTACCCTAAGCAATATCATTTGATTGACTATGGTTTTTATAATGTTTTATTTTCATTTTTTAGACAAGATACTTGTGTGGACTCTACTTCATCCCTGAAAGAGAACAAGCAACCTGAAGGTTTGGAATTAAAACAAGGTATGTTTCACTTTATTTTTACATAGGATTTACCTGAATTAGCAATTTATACATCATAAATTTTCAGTGGTCCATCTTGGCCTCATTTCACAGAGAGGACAGCAGAATAACTTACTTAGTTTAAGGTCAGAAGAGTACAAAATGCATCCGTTATTTCCTGTCTCCTCTAACCACTGCAGTGGTTCTACATGAGTGATGTGCAGATAACGATGCCACCAGAAAGTAGTCATCTTCAATGGCTTTATCGTAATCTACATCCTCAGACACAAAATAGTGGAATTAGGTTAGCTACATAGCTTTAGGGAAAAGCTGTGTGGTTTTACAGGAAACCTGTGTGGAAAAATATGTTTTACGGGATCACTTTTTTCCTCTCGTTGCAGAGATAGTTTGTCCTTATTTAATTTCTCCTTTACTTGTTGTCTTCTATAAATCAATAGTTGTTGACAATCCCAGCTAGCAGAAGTGAAGTGGTAATTTGTAATTTATTCAAGCCAAGTAGATCAATAGGGCTAATCTTTCACTTATCTTTTTTGTTTCTTTTTATCTTAGTATGGAAATTGAAAGCAAATAAATTTTTATTAGTTACTCAAAGACCATCTCACATTATTTTCTTTTTCATGATAATTTTACTTTAGAGTAATGAGAATCTGTTGCAGCCAAGAGTGTTGTGATATTTATTATGTAGACAGCTAGTAGTGACTTAGAATACTTTTTCTAGAACTTGAGCCAAAAGAACTTGTTAGAGATAAGTCATCTGGTTATTTAGGAGGAATTTTTTTTAGAAACTGGTTGGTGTTACTAATGTGCAATTAGTAAAATGAAAAGAAGTTGAATAATTGGTTTTATGATTCAACTTATATTTAGAGACAACAAAATCTAGATTTTCGTTAATTCTAACAAGTTTACTGACTTGATATATTTCTGATGGCTTTAAGGATTCCAATGCTTTTCAGAAGTGCTAATAGGTAGCCTTTCAAACTGTCAGGCCAAATTTATCTTCATATTCTACTTTTGAGTAGTATTCAACTGCCTACAAACTCATTCATATTTTGATTACATTTATTTGTCATATATAAATACATGCTAAACACATACTGTGTCTATGTAATTGAATCATACTCATGTGACTATTGCATCCCACGTATAATTGGACAGCCCTGCTTTTCTTTCTGCTTTTGGTTTTTCTGTTTGTATAAGAGCAGGGGATTTGGGGGCGAGATTGCTGTTAGATCATCTATGGAGAGAAGAGTGTCATGTAAAGAGCAAAAAATGCTAAAATGTGCTGGTTGACACCCCACCCTAGGGAAAAAAGGGAATGCAGACCTCCTTGTACAAATCAGCAGCACCGCCCTCTGAAGGAAAACCTTTGTCTGTGCCGAGACACCTGAGCTCCTTAGCACTCCCTTCGCAGTATTAACAGCCTATTTTGTTGTGATTCTCTTATGGTAACTTTAGTCGTTTTTAAGCTGATCACGGAAGCAACGAGGCAGAGAAAAAGAACTCGAGTAGCCAGATGTTACAAAGACAAAGCTCAGGTCTTTTATGCTTAGGAGCCTGCAGAAGACTCTCAAGTTCTCACTTAGGAAACAGAAACTTCGAGTACACTGTCATCAGTAAGTGACAGCACACAGAGGTGAAAAAACATAAGATCAAAGCCAGCAGTGTGCAGTTCATAGTGTGACTAGATCTATAGGAAATGACTAAATTCAGCATCAAGTCAGACTTTAAAGAAGCGGGGATATAGCTGAAGTCTAAGATACTCTTGAAAAGTGTCTATAAAAATGGTTAACATATTATGTTTTATAATAGATAAACTTCATTTATTTAAAAGAATCAATTATGTAGAATGTCTTCCTGATAAATACTAGTATAGATAAAATACTAGTAGAGCCAAAATTTATTTCATATAGTAAGTGACTTGCTGGGAGTAACCCAGAGAACTGAGGTACATCAGGAAATAGAAATCCTGGTAAATGCAATAGAGATTATTGCCTTCTTTGTAAATGAACTAATATTATCTGTTTTTAATATATAGAGTGTTCTTTGAGCATTAAAAAAAATTCATTGAAACATTAATACTAGAGAAACCCTTTCTTCAGACAAAAAATAGCATTGAATTTTCTCTGCTCTTTCAGAATAAAATACGTCTTATTATATGACCTATAAATGGTTTATGATACTGATGTCATGTATGTTTTCAGTGTTTTAACATCTGAAATACTCAAATACTGACAAGCATTGACTGTGAATAGTTAAAATTGAAATTGGCATTTCTTTTTCTCGTACTGGTTTTGTTTATCTTGTTGATAATAAATGTCATTTATTAAGCTTCCTTGCTGAAGATAAGAATCAGTGTGTAGCCACTTCTACCATACTAACAGAGGACTAGTAGTTGAATCTCGATCTTCACTATGCAAACTTATAAATATAATCTACTGGTTGATTGAATGGTATTATTGTAAAATGGAAACTCTTCTGTTAGTATTAGTTTCCTAAGTCACTCATTTTCGGTAGGACAGTTATATAAGAAACATTATAGTTTTCCTTTCTATCTTTAACACAGCTATGTTTATATGTACAGGCTCATATACTTGTGTAAGCCTGATATCTTATGTTAATTTCCTGGGGTATTTCAGGTCTTATATTATTATAAAGGTTTAGCTCAGTTTTTAAACTAATAATGGCTTATATAAATTTTCTAAATTGGTCATTTGTGCTATGGTTTAAAAAATGAAACTGCCATTGTCAAAGTTATTTGATTTGTAGAAAATATTTTTGAAATAACAAATTTCTGCTAAAGTCTGGTTAATTTTAATGAATTATCTTCCTGCTTATTTATTAATAAGTAAATTAATTTGCTTTCAGGATATCAGCTATATCAAAAACAATGCTATATAAAATAATTGTTGCTTTAAACTTTACAGCTGATATATATTATTTTGCAAATTATCCTCCTTATGGCTTGAAGAATAAGGCTCTAAAGCTGTAGTTCTTAGAATTTGTTCATAAGAACTGTTTAGTATATACAAAAATGCCTAGTTAGATTTGAATATTTCATTTGAAGAGGCTTCAAATAGTCACTGTGTTTGAAGAGCTGTCAAGCAGAAGCTTGTCTCCAAAAATAAAGATAGGGCTAATAAATACAGTTACTATTAGACTATTTTCATTCATTTAATTTCCAGTAATACGTATCAGAACATGTATGCCTTTTGATCTTGCTCCTGTTTGGAAAGTATGAAATACAGTTTATATAAGCCACCACTTGGTGGCGTTGTTGTAGAGCTAATTGAAGCAATGTTTAGATGTTTGGCCTTAAGTTCTTTCTAGCTGTTAGATTTTGTAAGTGGTGCCTAGAGCAGTGTCTGTTCTTGGGAAGAAAGCTTAATAAGTGTTTTCTTATATTGTTTAATATAAGCAGAATGGAATATGCAATTGGTTTTCTATTTCTATTATTTTGATTCTTTTAGAAGAAAAGATGCTTTAAGCTGTGTGAGTGTACCATGAAAGGCATTCATTTGAATATGGCCATAAAAATAGATAATATAGCCACATGATATATAAAAGGATCAAAGTCAGTGTTTTTCGTACCTCTTACTCTGAATCTTTTATATTAGCTTTCTGATAATGAAAATTAAGCTTTCTTTTCCTTAAAAACATACAACATATATAGAGTTGTGCTGTGACTAAACTCAAATATCGCTTAAAAACAGTAATAGAGTTGTCTCATGCAGTCATATTTCGACCTTCTATTTCACAAGTAGTGAATATAGATAGCTTTAGGAATTACCTTCTTGACAAGAGCTTATCGAAATTGAAAGGCAAACCTTAAGAAGGGAAACGTTTTAGCAACTAAAACTGTGATGAAAGTTGAGAATCGATGTTTTCTATGGGCTTCTTTCTGCCTTTCGGACTGGTCACCAAAATGATTATACACACTCCCAGAGAATGCAAAAAGAACACATCTGAACTTCTAAAGTAAATAAATAAATAAATATAAGTAATAAACCATATAACTTTATATGGTTAAAGACCATATTTTAAAGTCTTTCTCTTAAAATTTCTGATTTGTTATATGTAATACAAATGTGTAGCTACTGGAGCAGATACTTAAAATTTTCACTGATTGGCTTATGTAGATAATGAAATTGAGAGATCACTCTTAGACTATTGTAAAGAATTGATGAGGCCATAACTTACTCATCTTTTCTGTAAAACTGAATGTGATATAAGAGCTTTAGTAAAAGTATTACTATGAAACTACGAGTCTACTCAAATCCTTAGTAAGGTGAGAGATGAATAAGAAAACCAACATTTTTTTCTTTTCATTTTACTTATATTCGCAAAGAACTGGGGTGTAGACCAGAGGTCTACAGGGGTTGGGACGATACACCAGAAACGGTGGAGAACAAAATGGGAAGATTTACTGAAATAATCTGCTAAGGGGAGCAGTGGTCAAGACAGGATAGGTCTATTATGGTCTATGTGGGATAGACCCCTGTTCAGGATCAAACTCAGACCAAAGCAGTGACAGCATGGCAGCTCTGAGAATTAACCCCCAGGCCACCAGGGAGGCTAACTAGTTTTTTTGTTGTTGCTATTATTGTTTTTCTAAAGCACTGAAAAGCAAAACTGGGTGAGTAGAGCTATTAAAATAACAGTTGAGGAATGAATTTACAGTTAAAAAGGAGTGAGTTAAGTCTTGCTGAAAGAACTTTACAAAGACAACTAAAGGAATAATACAAATAATGAAAAAGCAAGCACAGTAAAAATGTCATCAAAGACATTTATTGCTTTGTAAAGGAAAGAGAAAGATGGTGATCAGTAAATTAAGCAGCATTTGAGACCAAGAGTTTTGCATGTCTAACACATGCACATTGTCTTAGAAATCTTTGATTTGTTGGATGGAGTCTGTGCTACCTCTTCCTTTAAAGAGCTGAATTGCAGTCATGAGTACTGGGAAGTTGTGTGGAATTTTGGGGGTGAGAGGAAGTGATATAAGA